AGTATAGGGTTATGAAAAATGGAGCGTTACACGATAGAACAACGTGTCTTCATTATTAAAGAATATTTCAAAAATAGTGAAAGCTTGGCGGCTGCAGTTCGAAAATTTCATACAAAATATGGCCGGAATAGTGTTTTAACTTCGTCAACTGTGAAGAGATTAATTGAAAAATTCATGGAGACTGGATCCGTTGGAGACGCCAAACACACTGGTCGTCCAAAAACAAGCCGTTCAAATGTGAATATCGAAGCAGTGCGTGAGAGTGTTGCGGACAATCCAGGAACCTCAATTCGACGTCGTGGACAAGAATTGCAAATGTCAAGAACCTCTCTACAGCGTATACTCACCAAAGATCTGTGTCTTCATGCTTACAAACTTCAATTAACACAACAATTGAAGCTTAATGACCATGCAGAGAGAAGAGAGTTTGTTGAATGGATTATTGAACATCAACAAATGGACCCTGATTTTGCAAGCAAAATCATCCTAAGCGATGAAGCACATTTTCATCTTGATGGCTTTGTCAATCGCCAAAATTGCCGCATTTGGGGTTCGGAGAACCCACGTGTGATTGTCGAAAAAGAAATGCACCCACAACGCGTGACTGTCTGGTGTGGATTTTGGGCTGGAGGCATAATTGGGCCATATTTTTTTGAAAATGATGCTGGTCAAGCAGTGACTGTTACTGGTGCTCGATATCGCGACATGATTACACAGTTCTTTCTGCCAAAATTGAATGATATTGATGTACCCAATATGTGGTTTCAACAAGACGGTGCCACATGTCATACAGCCCGTGAAACAATTCAATTACTGCATGAGACATTTCCCAGTCGTGTACTCTCTCGTTTCGGTGATCAAAATTGGCCTCCTAGATCGTGTGATTTAACACCATTAGACTTCTTTTTATGGGGTTATTTGAAATCACAAGTCTATGTCAACAAGCCCACAACCACCCGTGCATTAAAGGAGGAGATTCAACGCTGCATCAACGAAATTCAGCCACATTTATGCAGAAGGGTCATGGAAAATTTCGACAAAAGAGTGCGCATGTGCATGCAAAGCCGTGGAGGCCATTTGTCCGATGTGTTATTCCATACATATAGTAACCCTATCCTATGTACTTTATGAGTCAATAAAAATATAACTATTAAAAGACTAAAAATGGCATTTTCTATTTAATTCAAATCTTGCGTTAATTTTGGGACACCCTTTATGTTGGTATACAACTTCACCATAACCTAACTTTCTGCTGTCATATTTTTGTTAAAACGCCATAACCAATGATTTAAGACAAACAACGCATGCATATTGGTACAAAAGGTTTTATCAACTGTTCTAACAGAAGATATATGATCTGGTACAAATTCTGGGTAAATCATTGGACTCTGACGGTATTTCATTTCAGACATTTGTCAAATTATTGCATAACACCTGCAGGCAACACCAAGATATTCTAATAAACTGAAGACAACATGGACGATACCATGATTATACACAACCACCAGCCATATTGGGCAAACATTTATTCCTCTATTTAATATTAAATAATTATGTCTCAGTTCGAAATTACAGATATAAAGTGATAAACATTAGTGCAATTGTGTCTAAATATAGGATTTGTGGAAGATTTGACGCAGATAAGTTCAGTTTTCCATCTTAAAAATCTAGACATACTTTTGATCATTATCAAAATATGCATGAAATAAGAAGCCCGTAGAAATTGCGTAACTACTTTGCACGATAATCACAATAAAATTTGCTGCGCAAGTAATTCAATAGCCCTATATCACAGTGTAGAAGTTTATCGTATACCTGTGTATGAAATTCATAATGGCCGATATGTAAGTAAACAAGATGACTGTAATGTGTTAGTTATATATTCTTCACTTCGTCTATGCAATACATAAGAAGTAGTTTGGTTGCAATAAAGTAGAATCACGTAACAGAATAGTTGTATAGTTTGACAAAAACTGAATCTTGCACTGACGCAAATGTCCTATAGCGGCTGCAAGGGGCTTACAGTTTTGTTGTATAAATGTTACCTGCAGCCCTTATACAACCTCTTAAATGACTGGAAGTGTCCTATTAGGTGTGCCCATTCCGCTTGTATAGCTGTTCTAAGAGGGTTTTGCCAATGTCTTTACAGTATACAATGCTGTGTAAGGAACACTGTACAATCATTTTTGCAACTATAATAGGAGTGATAATTGTTAGTTGGGAATAATTTCAAAATAGTTGCATGAGATTTGCGTTTGGAATTCCATATCGAAACGATATCACTCCTTATCTGAATAACTACAACATATTCAACATGATGAAACGCAGAAAATATCACATGTATTCTTTTATCTATAGGGTTACAAAAACAGGTCAACCGCCCTATTTAAGAGAAAGATCTGTGACTTTTCCTGATCTCCAGAGAAGCATAAATAATCTCAATTTTATCGTACATAGGCATAGAACGCGTTCCTTTCGACGATCGTTTGCCTATGTGGCGGTTCACTTATGGAATAATTTACGAACTTCAGTTAAAAGCACATCGTCAAAAACATTCTCAAAACTGAAAAAAACGTTGTTACAGAATCACCAGCTACTTTAGCAGCGTTTGTGTGAGCAAAAATATCGTTTTTACATTCCTACTCGCTGACAAGTGGTACAGATTTGTTCTTCACGTCCGTTGCCAGCTCGCGGTTGTTCTTTCTTCGTTTTTGCCTTTTTGTGTTTCACCGCCTCTTCATTTGCCTCCTTATTGTTGTTTTTTATTTTGTTTAAGGAATTTTAGGGAGTTCAGGGCTTTTCTGCATGAACTCTTTGTATTAAAGGGTCCAGTGTATCGGTTTTATAATCGACCTTTTTCGTCATTGCTCTATAATATGTAGAATTTCCTTTGTTTATGATGTTTATTCATGATGAAATAAATATTTTGAATTTGAATTAGATATGTAGCTTCAAGTGTTGGCAACAGAGGAGGAGAAGGATGATTCACGTCGCTTTGACAGATTTCCCGGTAGAGTACAATAAACCATGGATAGTTTCACTTTCATAATTCTGCATCCTGTTGACCGGACTAGACACAAACCGGGACGTCCGAGGCGACGTCAAAGTTCCGTGTGTCCGGGAGCTGGAGTGTGGAGCGAGGGTCCGGGTGGCGTTAAAAACACCCTTCAGATCCAATTAATGAAGGCCCGAATGAACCCATTCACATCAACTCGCCGTGAATTCGCGTCAATTTGCTCTTGCGGGCGTGCTTCTCATCTTTCGGAGCGCTCGTACACACCCAAGGAATTTCGACTGACGACCTCTGGTTAGCAGTGATGGGCGTACTGCGTATATATGTATTAAGCAACATACACTGTTGTATACAAGTATACATTTTTAATTGTTACTAGTATTCGTCATTTGTTTGTCTGGGCGGTCCGTAGGACCTCTGCCCATTGAATGAATGAATGAATCTTGAAATTAGAGGCATTCCGGCCACCATAAGGAGCCAGTGCATAGGCCGCTTAAGCGGGCCCTTATGCACCTCTACAATCCTTAGATCACAAGCCTCGCCCTTTTAGCGAAGTTGAGAATCGCCTTGAGTCCAAGCTCCTTGACGTCCCGAGGGTCCAAAGTAATGAACCCCAGTATAGTCTGCCTATAGTAGCTCAAAGCTTCACGTGCGCCGAGGTCTCTTCCTCTACTCCGCAGTGTTCACACAAGGGATCCTCAGCCACCCCCATCACGTGCAGGTGACGCCTTAACGTGTTATGTCCAGACAACAGTCCCACCAGCAACCTTAGGTTGGCTCTATCCATCCTTAGCACTGGGCCCTTCAATGAGTTCTCGTGCCTGGCGGAGATGTCTGGAGATACTTCTCCATTTCTGAGAGTGTTGTCTTGCAACTCACGTCTCCATTTTCCTCCTAGCTTTATGCGCGGTCACTCCTAGAGCTGGCTCAGGACCAAAGACCTTTGCCCATTAGTGACTGTCTAATGCAGAGTTCCCCAAACTTTTTTGTGCCGTAGACCCCTTGCCATGTTTTTCCGTGTTGGGTAGACCCCCTACTTACCTGATATTGATTTCCTGCAAATTTCTAACTGTAGTGAAGTTTAGTGTTAAAAACTTAAGTAAAAACACATGTTAATTTATACCTTTACTAATTGAATTTAAATTAAAACTACTCAAAATAAAATTTTGTATCTGTTATGTAAAATATACGTAACATTAAATAAATAGGTGTCTGACCAATAAGTGCCCGCATTGGAAATAAGTGCCCGCATTGAAAACAAAATAAGACTGATAAAATAAAAACAAAGTGAAAAATAATAAAAAAAAGTTTTTTACTTAAAATAGTACAAGAAGCGAGTTCATTTATTAATTATAACATAAACGTATGTTCTACAATAGTTTCACTGTTAGTTTGATTAAATTCCGCTTCTTATACGTTTAACTTATCTAAAAATAGGCAAAAAATTAACGAAGTTTAGTGTGTACCTATCCTTGAATTTTCAGAATAATTTAAAAAAAAAATATTTTCTATAAAGGAGGGTTCTTTAAAAAAATCAATGCGGGCACTTATTCCCAATGCGGGCATTTATTGGTCAGACACCAATAAACATAAAATAAACTATATAAAATAACATAAGCAATAAGTCAATATTTTTAGTGAGAAGGATAAACCTGATGCTTTAATAATAAATTGTCAACATTTGTCGTCAATTGTGTAAGGGTTAATCTTAAATCTCCTCAGCTAATGATGTCCAGTCTGTTTCTTTTTTTTCGTTAGGAGATTGGTAACAGCGTTGAACCCCCTTTCCACTAGGTATGACGATGGAAAGGAAATTAAAAATTCCCTCGCTATATTCCATAATACGGGATAAGTAACGGGTATGTTGTTTTGCAGCCAGAATTGCTGATATCCGTTTTTAAACTGAACCTTAAGTTCTTCGTTTGTACTTAGTTCAGTCAGTTCCTCTTGTATTATGACATTCGTTTCTTATATGTCACCATATGCATTAATAAATTATCCACGGTGGTATTACCATAGTCAAAATATCCTCAAACCTAGATTCAAAATCTGAATAGCGGGCATTTAAATGTTGAACGTAAGTTGAAACGTCGTCTTCCTGGCAGCTTGTCTGTGACAAATTGGGGAACTGAGAAAATTCGCCCCGTCCAATATTTTGCTTCATTAGGTTAACCCTGGCAAGAAACGCTGATAAGATGGACTTTGTTTTAATCAAATTTAAACTGTCGCCTTGTAATTGCAAATTAACCATATTAAATTTTGTAAACAAATCTGTTAAATAGGCGATGTCTGTTTTCCTCTTCATTAAATTTTCTTTTAAAATTTTATCTTTAGTATCCAGAAATTCTGAAATAGTCTCAAAAAGTGCAAAAGATCTTGTCAAACATAAGCCTTTCGACAGCCAGCGTACTTCCGTGTGAAGGAGTAATTGATGAAAGTGTTCGTCAAGTTCTTCACACAACTGCGCAAATAACCGCGTATACACAACGCGTTGCTTCGGATTCGGTTTACTGCATCAATGACTAAATGAAGTGATTCATGCAATCTAACACTCAAATTTTTAGCAACTAAATGTTATCGATGACTGACGCAATGTATTCCTAACACCCCTGACACATTTTGTTTTAAATAGCTTATAAATTCACGATAACGTCCAACCATGGCAGGTGCTCCATCTGTAGCTACTGATATGATATTTGATAAAGGAATTGCTTTTTCACTGAAGTAATCCTTCAAAACCTGAAATATTGATTCACCTTTAGTGTCGGTTATCAAAGTTCTTGCGAAGAGCAGTTCTTCGTAGATTTCTTGATTCATAATAAAACGAACATATCCCAATAATAATGCTGCATTATCAGGTAAAGTTGACTCGTCCAGTTGTATAGAGAAATGGGTCGTTCGCAAATAATTACATAAGAAGCTTTCATTATCAGAACTCATTTCATCAATACGTCTTTCAACAGTATTGTGGCTTAAGGGAATTCTTTTAATGATATCAGATGCAGGTTTGTGTAAAACAGTTTTTAAAACCTCTTCAACGGCTGGCAAAATTAACTTCTCTTCGATAGTATGCGGTTTTCCGGATTTTGCTATAAGTAACGAGATATTGTAAGACGCCCGCAAACCATCATCATTTCTTTGAGTGTTTGAAAGTATTTCAAATCTTTATCTGTTTTATCAGGGTGGCATCTTCTCAGATGATCTTGCAGATTAGATGGTTTCATAGCGTCATTGCCCAAAACTTTGTTGCATAAAAGGCACATAGGCGATTGTTTGTCCGGCAATGATGGAATGAAGCCAAATTTCAAATAATCTGTACTGTCTACATTTCTTTTTAGATTCGGACATGGCATCAGTCATCTGTGGGCAAAATTAAATTATTTAAATAAGACAGAAAATCCAGTAGCTGCATATTAAAAATATTTTTTGATTTTTCCGAAAACATTCCATAATTCGAACATCTTCTTGCAACAATTAGCTCGAATTACGGAGATTGCACTGTAATTATATTACCGATTTGCTAAAACTTTTAAAAAGAAACTATTGAGGAGCACTCGTGTAATTTTGCATGATTGAGTATTTAACTACTAATAACTAAAGTCATGATTGGCGTAATTTATCTATCTTTGCTAACTACGAGTACAAAACTAAATGTACTTACTTTTCTCCAGCACTCTCAAACAAAATAACACTGACTCACTATAATTTGTGTGATCTACTATATGTTTATATTTTTTAAAATATTTTCTTAGCACTTTCCTTTTCAAGATTCAGGAAACGAAGCTCTGAGACTTGGACTCTCAGGTTTTTACAAGTTCAAAATGTATTGCGACCACAAAGCGAATACCAATATCCTACAACTTGCACAATTTTATAAACATATATAATAATTTTTTACTTTATAGGTACTTTTATAAGTAATGTATATGTTTTGATATTATAAGATAGTATGATGTAAGTAAATAGGTACTATCAGTGTATGTGTTGAGATCTACTATCGTGGATCCCCATATTCATTTCATGGACCCGCAAATTTTTTTTCGCTGACGTAGACCCCTTGCAGGTTGTAATAGACCCCTAGGGGTCGATATAGACCACTTTGGGAATCAATGGTCTAATGTATGTTAGTCGAATCTGCCAGTCCTGGCTGCCCAGAAACCAGACGATGTCAAGGAAAAACATAAAGGGAAAGAGAAGAAAAACAGAAGAGCTTAGTTTAAGAGGAAACACCTAGGCTTTTGACTTGGTACACGGATTAATTTTGAGGAGATCTAAACAGTTTTGATTCGGCTTTGTTAGAGTGTAATGTTAATTTTACTAAAAGCTCGCGCTAAAAATTTTATCAACATCACTTAAAATGAGACTAGAGAAAATTATAGACATACAATTGGGAGATTATCAAGCTGGTTTTCGTAAGAGAAGATCGACAACTGATCAAATTTTTTTCACGAAACAAGCTCTTACCACCTGCTACGAGTATAAAATACCAGCAATCATCTTATTTATTGTCTTCTAAAAAGCCTACGACACGATCAGAAGGATGTGCGGTATTTCATACAATGAATTATTTTGGTATACCTGGAAAACTCATTAACCTCACAAGAATGATGATGAGACAAGCAAGAAGTATGGTCAAGATAAGAGGAGAATTGACAGAAGAGCTCGGGATTAATACATTATCTACACTTTTATTTGATATGATCCTAGAAAGAATCGTTATTAACAGTCAGCTGAATAGATCAGGAAGTATATTATTTAAAAGTCACCAACTAACTGCCCATGCTGATGATGTCGCCATAATAGCTAGAGATAAAAGGACAATGGAAAAAGTGTTAGAGCAGTATATACAAGTTGCAGCAAAAACGGGATTGAAGTTAAACGAGCAAAAAAGTAAATTTATGAGAATAGGGACCTTTCAGACGGAAACGACGCTAGTAATAACGGTAAGCACTGTAAAAAAGATTTTTAAGGAGGTGGATGAGTTTGTCTATTTAGGATCTCTAACTAGTAATAAAATAAATGAGGAAACAGAAGTAAACTACAGAATCGGTAAGGCGAATAAATGTGCGGTAATGCTTAACAGAAATGTTAGGTCCACAAATGTATCTAAAGACTCCAATATAAGGCTATACAATACGATCATCAAGCCAACCCTTTTGTGTGGAGTAGAAATCTGGGTAGTTAATAAAAGACTTGAACAAGCATTACTTAGGTGGGAGAGGAAAATTTTAAGGAGAATATATGGAGGGAGGGTATGTTAGGAGATCTAATGCTGAAATCAGATTCAGATTCAGATTCATTTATTGATCCAGTTAGATCTACATTGTAGACATTGGATAAGTCGGTGTATATAGACTAAAATATAGATAAAAGGAAGTAAAATACAAATAACAATATAATAAATAAGAACATAAAAAAAACCATATGATACACACATGGCAATAAATTATTTGTTAAGATCTATCAGAAGCACTGTGGAATGTGACAAATTCACCTAGGTCATAAAAACCGCAGTCCGATAGCTTGTTCCGCAAACGTCTTTTGAAAAGCCCTACGGAGTTTACGTTTTTGATCTACGGAGGTAATAAATTAAAAAAGTATATTCCTGCTGTTATGGGAGATTTTGAATGAAACGTATGATATGACACATGCCTAACTATATTATTTTTATTACGAGTGCTGTAGTCATGGATGTCAGTATGCTTAAGATAATCATTTCTGTGCGGAAAAATATATGTTAAAAGATTATAAAGATATATACATGCTACTGTAAGTATTTTGTGTTTAACAAATATCTCACGACAGGAGGATCTGGACCGTATTTTAAATATAATGCGAATGATTCTTCTTTGTAAGACTCTAGAAATTTCACTAGCCTGGCCCCACGCAGTAATGCCATATTAAATGACAGAGTGTACACATGCATAGTAGACATCCATTAATGCTGAGGTATTTAACATCCTCCCTAGCGTAAGTATTAAATACAGACTTTTTCCAAGTTTCTTACATACGGAATCAAGTTGCTCTGTCCATCTTAAATTGCAATCAAAGCTTACACCTAAAAAAACAGTTTTTTTGGAAGTTACAACTGTCTTGCATTGAAGACTGAAATTAAAATTTGACGGAATTTTTCGTTTCATAAAATATTCAACTGAAACGGTTTAGTCTGTTTTTGAAGCACCATTGACTGAACTCATTAACCGAATCATTAATTTTTTCTTGAAGACGATCTTGCGATGAGTCAGCTAGAATGATATTTGTGTCGTCTGCATACAAAAGTAATTTTCCGTAGGATAAGTGTGCAGGCAAATCATTTATGAAAATCGAGAAAATAAGTGGTCCAAGGACGCTGTCTTGAGGTGTGCCCCAATCTAAAATGAATTCATCAGACTTTTTATCAGCGACAGTAACATAAAATTTTCTATTCTCTAAAAAGCTAACTAGCCATTGATTCAAACATCCGCGAATGCAAACATGATGAAGTTTATCGGCCACAAATGACGAACTTACACAATCAAAGGCCTGAGACAAGTCAAATTGGATACTCACTACGTAATTACCTATATCAAGTTTATCACAAACATGCTGAACATACTCGATAATGCTTGTTTCAGTTGAGTAGCCTGCCCTGAAACCATGTTGAGCATGTGATAATTGCAAATTTAAGAAAGTAATTTTCAATTTTTATTGCAACCACTTCTTCAATGATTTTCGAGAAAATACTTAATAGCGCGATTGGCCTATAGTTTTCAACATCACAATGTGTTGGAAATTTATTTAATTTTTTATTACAGTGCGAGCCGTGGCCTTGAATGCTTACGAGCTTGCTCCACTGTGTAGTCCACTGTGTCGCGCAACAGAGGATTGCTGTGCGACTTCGCTTGACTATAGCGTCGCTGCACCTGAAGCTTGACATAATCCCTCAAGTAAGGAATGTCAAGGTCTCAGTGCAGTCTCTCGTTTGAGACATACTATGGAGCGTTGCAAATTGTTCGCAAAGTTCTGCTTTGCAGTACTTGCATGGACGTTTTGGCAAGAAAAGACCAAGCCGCACATGCATAAGTAATGGCTAGTCTAATAATAATTTTATATAGGCGAACTTTGTTTATCAAACTCAATTTGGAGGATCTACATAACAAAGGATATAGTTGCCGAAACGCAATTTGGAATTTTGTTTTCAAGGCTGCTGTATATTTTTGCCAGGTCATGCCTTTATCGAGGATGACACCGAGGTACCTGGCAAAACTGGTCCATGGTATATGATTGCCGTCTACGGAAACCTCTGCTGGGGGGCCGCGACGTTTTTTGGTACAATAAATAGCCTGCGCTTTCGATTGATTAATTTTAATCAGCCGCCGTTCCGCCCACTCTAGTACTTCGTCCACTGAAGTCTGCAATCCATCGTGAACCAGATCACCAGTACACGACTGGGCGACAAGTGCAGTGTCGTCAGCATATAGGTAGACTTTACAGTTGTTGGAGCAAGGGACATCATGGATAGAAAGCGAATAAAAGATGTCCTAGGACCGATGCCTGAGGAACACGGGCCCGTACCGGCCGTATTGTTGACAAAACATAGTTAACCCAGATATGCCTACAGCTCAAATAAATTATAATAAAGTATGTTATCTGCAAACTCATTCTATATGAAGCATATATTAAACAAATTTATTATTTTTTAAATTTTATTTTAGGAAAAAGTGTAAAAAAAATTCCGTACAAAATATGGTAAACTAGGCACATAGGCGAACATTAAGGTTTAGTATGGAAGGACAAAAACATTTTACATGCATCGCTACATTGCACTTAGAGCACCTTGTTTTTTTTCTGTCATGACATAAGCCACATCTAGTTGGCTTTTCTTGTGGTATCACAAAATGATCTAAACGATCATAACGAATATCTATACACCTTAGGAAAAACCATTGTTATACATGGGAAATCATTTCTTGGCAACAGAGCATCGGCTCGTCTACTTTCATCGCTATTCGTACATATTTTCTACCGTTAACCGCAGACCTGTATCACGAATGAGAATAATAGGCAGGTACGCTGTGTTGCCAATTTGAGTAGAGCTTCCCGAATTGTGGGGAATTTAGAGTTAAGTGTTGATACATTCAAGCTTTTAATCAGCATGGCCTAGACGTTAGAACTTCATAAAGATAACATTGAAGCTGAATGCTGCTGGAGCATAGTGTTTCGAATATTCAAAGCGTAGCGGGACACTATACTCGTCGTGGGTCATCAAGCCACAGTCTTTTCA